CTGGCACAATGTAAGCTCCTCAAGGGCAGGCCTTGTCTCATTTTTGTATTTGTGTCCTATGTGCCTATCACAGTGTCGAGGCCATAGTAGGCACTTGATACATATGATTGATTAAAACTGTCCCATCTCGCTAAACCTTCTTTTCTTCATCAGCAAAATAGGAATCATTACAATTATACCTCCTACTTCACAAGGGTATTGTGGGGAAAACATTATGTCAACTTCGAATTGTCACAGAAATTTCTGAGGGCCATTCATCTTGATGTGTGAGCAATAAATTTTGTTTTCTAAAAATCACTTGTTTCTATGTTGTCCTGTGACTAGCGTATATGAGGTGTGGAGAGGAACTGTACTGTTTCCCAAACTAATGGCTTCAACAGCAAGTGTGTTTGTAGAAACAGCAGCAAAGTCAACTCCAAATTCAAACTCATGCATTCTGAGGCCTGATCAATGCCAGATCTGAATGACATTCATCGTTCTTATATTAAAGATTTCAGAGATACTAAAATACCCATCTAGGGTAAATGAACTGCCCTCATTTTTGTTTTATTTTTTTGAGAGATGGGTGATGATGGATGCAGAACTGCTGCATTTGCCGTCAGATTTGGTTTCTCTGTTGGTTGGTTTTACTTAACTGTTTTTCATAGAATCATAAAATTTGAGAATTATCTGGGATCTTAGCAGTCTAGTCCATACACTGAGGAAATCGTGGCTTTTCTGTCTTACAAAAGAAGATACAGTAGGTAGGAGTGGGGGGAGAAGAATGAAAGATATATCCAGAAATGACTGATATAAAAACCACACACACACACACACACACACACACACACATATACATATATGCACACAGGATAGAAAGGTAGTTAAAATAAAATACCTACCTTGGGGAATTTTTAAAAAATTATTTAAAAAACATAACGCTTTTCTAACCTAAGAAAAGCATGAAACCTCTTTAATTTGCAGAATTTAATATCTTTCCCAGTTTGGTAAATTGGTATACTAGAAGGCCTGGAATATAAGAATATTCTGAAATATCAAACTAAAGATACTAGAAATAGTAGGATAAAAACAATTTATTTCCATATAAAATTATAATATCGACTTATAATGATTTGTATTGAAAGTAAATATATACTGATAGGAGTAATTATAGTAAAAAAATGTTTAATCTTTAAAAAAATTTGCATCAGATGATACAATTGATATGCCTGACCTTATGTTAAATAAAATGGCTGCTGTAGATGATGTAATGATTAAAGCACTGCATTTGGAATCAGAGGACCTGTATCCAAATCTCACTTTTGTTACCCTGTCTATGACTTTGGGCAAATTGCTTGTCCTCATCTAGAAAATGCAGGTCTTGGGTTGTATGATCTGAGGTTCCTGTAAGAAACAAGGTCACAACATCCTAGGAGGTCAGAGTGGGTTCTGTGATAAGTTCTAAGGATGGAATCATTTCCATTGACGGGCTGAGTCACTTCTTTAATTTAATACTACAAGAAAAGATATGAACATGGATATCGTCTCACTTTAAACAATATTTATTCAGTCTCAAGTTTTATTGAACAAGGAATATTGCATAAAGCCTGTCTCCATGGCAACCAGAAGTGACAAGGATCATGACATGCTCTGGTATTTTCTAGAACCATGCAAATGCTACCATAGGTCAAGCTTCATTGAAAAAAAATCTGCTTTGTTTTGTTTTAAAAGTGCTTCTCAAATATTTATACTTGCATTACTATTTCTATTCAAGGACAATAACCTAATTGTTAGCTGCTCAGCTCCTCTGTCAGAAAGTAAATAGACAGGGCAGCTGGGTGGCACAGTGCATAGAGCACCGGCCCTGGATTCAGGAGGACCTGAGTTCAAATGCGGCCTCAGACACATAACACTTACTAGCTGTGTGAACCTGGGCAAGTCGTTTAACCCTATTGCCAAGAAAAAGAAAAAGAAAGTAAAGAGACTACTTCCCAGTGGTACTTGACTCATGTTTTTGCTGATGGAGGCATCCAAATACCACAAAGTAAAGGAGCTTATGACCAACCATCCCCCACCATCTACCTTCCATCCACCCTGCTATTGCTTCTTCTGAATCTCCTGAGACCATACCCTGGATAACAGTATACTCAGGTTTGAAACTGTACATGCTGTCCTGACTGGTGAGTCAGACAGTGAAAATACACATGGCCCAATGTACCCTGCTGACCCAAGACCCAAGACCATGCTTCATTCATATCATATCTGACCAGCCATCCCTCTGATGGCCTTGCCATCCACCCTGCTGCATCACCATCACCCTCGCCCCTCCATTTTCCACCTCTTATTTTGCAATCAATAATCAAACCAATATTAATGTTGCTTTGGGACAGAAAGCATCTGTTGAATTCTCTAGAAACACAGCACACTACAGTGGAAAGAACTCAGGCTCTGGAGTTGGAGGAGCCAGGTTCAAATTCCACCTCTGATACGAGGTATGTGATGTTGGGTGAGTCACTTTGCCAAACCAGGCAGGAGCTACCTCACTTGTAAAATGAAAGAGTGGGATTAGAGGGACTCAAAGGCCCCTTCAACCTGGAATCTAGTTTCCCATAATCCCTGTGGCTCCACCGCCCATCTCTGCGACTCCCCGAAACAAAGCCCCCTTCCCTAACCACACCTCTCTTCTATATGTTGGGTCCTCCTACTTTGACGGAAGAGGCCTGCTTTTGAATGTGTGTCTCCAGAAACTTAGACAGATTTTGGTAAATAAGAAGAGGGAAAAGAACTGGACCTGTGATGACTGGTATAGGGAATTCCTGGATGAAGAAATTCCCTCCACCAATGCAGGTTGGTACCTTCTCTGCAATTTACAATCTTAGAGAGTTACCTAGAGCACGGTCACACAGCTGGTCTATATTAGAGGTGAGACTGGAACCCACATCTGCTTGGCTTTAAGGCCAGCTCACCATCTACTAGGCCCAACTGCTTCTGTTATTCTTTATTCTCTCTATTACCATTTAGTATTGATAGACAATAGACTCATTGGCTCATTGAATAGAGTGCTGGGCCTGGAGTCAGAAAGACCTGAGTTCAAACCTGGCCTCAGATACTTACTAGCTGTGTGACCCTGGGCAAGTCACTTAACCTTGTTTGCCTTAATTCATCAGAGAAGGAAATAGCAAACAACTCCAGTATCTTTGCCAAGAAAACCCAATATTGGCATGATATGCATCTGGGGTCACAAAGAGTTGAACACAACTGAACAACAAGACAATAGATAGTATTTGCAGATAGTAAATGATTATTAATAAATGTTTTCATCCATTTAAGACCCAGGGAAAGGACCCTGACTCCAATAGTCAAAGTACCACTTGAGAGCTGTGTCCTCATCTTTAAAATAAAGAGCTACACCTCTGAAGACACAGAAAAAGATATATATTTTCAGCCTCAATCCCTGGGAGAATTCGTTTTGCTTGACTATGCACATTTGTCACAAGGTTTTGGTTTTTCTTTCTTTTTTGGGGGATCCAATAGAGGGGAGCAAAGGAGGCTATGACAGGGTAGCCAAAAAACAGGATCATTGAGGCGTATCTCACAAACAAACTAAAATGAAATCAAACTCTGACTGGTTATAATAACCAATTTTCTCCTAGAGAACTAATAATGAAATACTTCCCTCTTCTTTACAGTCTACAAGAGAATGTTGAGCACCCTCTCAAATGAGGTCACTGTGTTAGCTGGTTTTTCATCTTTTGTCAAAGTAGAGTTCAACAGAGATAAGAGGAAGGATCCAAAAAATAACTGATGTAAAAACAAAATACATCAATAAAACATTCCTGAAAATCAAAGGCTCTTGGTAGAACCCAGCAATGTCCATTTACTTCATAAATTCCAAAAATAACCATCTCTCTCTGCTTTCTCTTCTAATTAGACCTGCTCATCCTCAAATTCCAGAAATTGTGATACCTAAAAAATTATGTCTCTCTCAAGTCAGTTTCTTCTGTTTTGCTTAATTACTAGCATTGCACTAGTGACCTTTTCTGTTATTTATTTTCTTTTCAACCAAGTATTTAAATCTATAAACTAGCCTTGGTACCTCACCACCATTGGTAGTGCCATTTCTCTATAAAAATGAACCGTGATCCTGAGGGATGCTAATGACCACTAAATATGCTACATACTCTACAAACAACTTGTGATCTGTGGGGTTATTTCCATCCATCAATCAATAAGCATTTATTAAGAACCTACTGTGTACCAGTGCCTAGCAATGTGACCCTGGGCAAATCACTTAGCCTCTATCTACCTCCATTGGCTCAACTTAAAAATGGGGATAATAATAGCACCTACCTTCCTGGCAGGGTTGTTTTGTGAGGAAAAAAATAAGATCATATTTAGAAAGCACTTTGCACAGGGCCTGGGACAGAGTAGGAACTTAATAAATGTTTGTTTCCTTTCTTACTTGCTAGCACAGTGACTGGTACTTGGGGATAAGAACTGAACCTGAAATTTCATTGGTATAGAAATTCCCAGATGAATAAACACCTTGTACCAAGTCATGTCAACAAATATTTATTAAGTGCCGGAAGGGAAGGAAAGAGTATAGAGTATGGGTATAGAGCACTGAATACAGTATAAGATTCAGTTAATGTGTTATTTTTGTGAAAGTGCTCTTTCTTTTTCTCCTTTTGAAAAATTCTTAAATACAAGGTATTAGTCTCCTGGTAGGGGAGAGAGAAGGAATATATTTGAAAGTGAAGGCAATAGGGACAGCTAGGTGGTGCAGTGGATAGAGCACCTGCCCTGAACTCAGGAGGACCTGAGTTCAAATATGGCCTCAAAAAAAACACTTGACACTTACTAGCTGTGTGACCCTGGGTAAGTCACTTAACCCCAATTGCCTAAAAAGAAAGTGAAGGCAATGTACAAGTGGAAAATAGTACTATAAACTTTAAAATTAATTTTTGTTAAAAAGAAAAATATTTACATTTTTAATTTTTTTAAATTAAAAAAAGACCTACCTGCTTGAGGGTCCTCAGGATTCTTATCAGGATGACATTCAAGAGCTCTGACCTTAAATTCTGCCAAGATTTGGTCCACCTGAAAGAAAATTGATAATTCAATAAACAAGTAAGGTTAATGATTGATATAGCCCTTGCACATCAGCTTTTTCAGCTCTTCACTAAGACAAGTCATACTCTTGGGAGGCAGAATATGATGTTCCTGGAGCCAGGAGGGACCTGTGTTCTCCATGTCCTGCCCCTGAAGTCACTCAAGTTTTCTGCTCCATACTTTTGTAATTGATAAAATGGTGAGCAGAGTTGAAGGAACTTCCCCAGAGGCCACAGAGTCCAACCCCAACCTGAGCAAGAATCTCCTCCTATGTTATGTTGTCATAACCTTCAAGTCCCATAATCCTTCTGCCCCAGGATAGCCCTCCAAGTACTCGCAGTCAGTTACCATTTTCAGCTTTTGTCTTATCCAGACTCAATATCTCCAGTTCGTCTGCTCCTCTCATGGCCTGAGCTCAAGGCCCTTCCCCATGCTGGCTGGCCATCTCTGAAAGTTCACCAGCTCACACATGTCCTTCCTAAAAGGTGGCGTCCAGCCTTGAACACAATACACAGCACGTGGTAACTATAATAATAATGCCTCTGGTACCTACCCTAGAGAGTTATTGGGATGATCACACAAGAACATGTATGTTAGATGAAGATTATTGGCCTATCTCATTTGCTCCCATACAGAACCTCCCTTGAGTGGACAAAGACCAGAAAGCTATCTATCACTATGTGACAATTCAAATAGCATCCCTTTATATCAGTTTAGCTAAATGGTAAATTTACTTTGTATTTATTTTATACATATTCAAAATTACTTTGTAGTTACTTATCTCTATCTTTTGCATCCCACCCCACTCCTAAACAACAAAATATAAGCTTCTTGAAGTCAGGGACTTTCTTTCTGGTGTTTGTTCAATGGGAGGCTTCAGCAGCCTCATAGACTGTAGATGCAGAAGGAGACATGTACACCTTCTGACTCAACTGAAAGAAAAGAAACTTGTTTTACTCAATTACAAATATTGGTTCCAAGGGAAGAGAGACATTAGCAGTGATGCAAAAAAAAAATCTAGGGAAAAAGAAGACTGTCAATGCAACATTTTTAAAAATATGCAGTAGAGAGGAGAATAAAGTTCAGAAGGGGAATCAAACAAGCAGGACAATGCTGGCCCTGCATTAAATTTAACATAAAATTTTTTAAAACAAGCTGAAAATAATTGAGTCATGGTTTCATACACAAGCCACTTTTTCTGACTTTTTTATATATGAAAAGTTCCAATTTGTTGAAAATTATTTAATTCATGATTGTAAAAAATTTAATTAAAAAAATGAGAAAAAAAAAAAAGAAAAGCCTTTTAGAAGGCCATGGAAGCCATGGATGCCTTCTAACTCAACACATATAGGTTCACAATTTAAGCAGAAAACAGAAGGTAGGAAGAAATGCAGACAAAAGTGTGAGGAAGGGTAGACAAAGGTCTGTCTTGATGCTAAAGGAAAATTTCTCAGATGAATGAGATAAGAAACATGACATATTACTCAAAGGATCGGCAATAAGCCCATGGGGAATATCGTGGCTCTTTCTTAACCACCAGGGACTGTTTCACTTTGGGTGCCTAACAGGTTGCTTGTCTCCTAGCAGGTGCTTAATAAATACATGCTCGGTTGTTTGTAATACAGGCTTTGTAAGGTAGGGCTCTATATAGTATAAATAAAGGTCATGATTCACATTTAAATAACACTTTAAGGTTTGCAGAATGCTTTACAGACTTCATCTCTTTTGATGGTCACCACAAAACAAGCTTGGAGGTAAAAGCCATGGTGAAGCCCTATTTTACTGGTCATGGAGCCTAAGAAAGGTCATGTGGCTTTCTTGGAATGACACAGCAAAGGGTCAGGGTTTGAACCTTAATTTTCTTGGCTCTGAGTCCAAACCTCTATCCACTAGGTATGTGCCGCCTAAATGAACTTGAATGAGCACCTAGTCTTTGTTTTCTGTCAACAAAATGGAATATTTTTAATGAAATGGTTTAACACTATATAAAGAGAATGGGTTATAGATTGTTGTTGGGTTGTGAGGGTTTTTTCCCCCTTTCTTTCTCTTTTTTCTTTTCTTTTCTGTCTTTCTTTCTTTCTTTTTTTGGGGGAGGGGAGAGAGAAAGGATCCAGATCTATGACTCCCTTGTTACAGGGAGCTCCTAGGAAAGAAACTTTTACATGACTACCAACTCTGCAAGTGATGGTCTTAGAAAGTTGCCTGGAGGCCTTGAGAGGGTGGGGGACTTGTGAGTATTTATCAGAAGTAGAAGCTTTCAACTGAAAGCAAGGCTTCCTACTTTCCCAGCTTCCTAGCAAGTGTTCCTAGTGGTGAGACTTCACTCTATCCCAATATTCTTCTCCTCAAAAGAGAATTACACTAATAAAAGAAATGCTCATTGGTTGATTACACTTTATGTTGGTGACCACTAAGAGAACAAACAGCAGGTTGGGAAATTGTTTGATACTGTTCAAGAGGGAAAGGGGAAAATCATTCCCCAGTTGTCTCCCTTTGTAGATTGAAAAGTTCATACTTCTTTAATACTACAGACCAACAGTTTAGAGCTGGAAACCACCTTAGGGTTTATACTGTCCAGTTCCTCAGTTTTATACATGGGGGAACCAAGGGCCAGAGGTCATCTAGTCCAAACTCCATATTTTATAGATGAGCAAACTATGGCCAGAGAGGGTAGGTCATGCAGCCGGAAAGCACAACAGAAGGGGTCCTCCAATGCCATTTCTAGCATTTCCTCCATCCAGAAAAGTAAACTGCCTCCCTCCAGTCATGAACCCTTGCTAGGATTTTCACCAATGATTTGTTTGGGAAATCATTCAATTTTACAGATTGAACTTCTGTTAAAAAAAAAAATTCAAAATCCTAACATAAAAAAAGAGAGACATCCAGGGGCTGGGTGATAGTCAAGAAGACCTGGGTTCAAGTCCCAGCTCTGACACATATCGTGTGACCCTAAGCAAGTCACTGAAGTGTAGTGTTCCCAACCCCTCTAAGACTATTAGTAACAGAGAAGTTGGAGGTCTGCTTTGGTAGGAATACACCAATGAAGGCATTGGTCCTGTCCTGCCCCACTCCAATACTTTTTTAAAATCAATCTTACATATGTTGTTTGATCCAATCAAAAGCATTTATCAAGCATTTACTATGCATCAGGCTTCATAACTAAATGCTAGGGATACAGACAAAAAGCAAAAAATGTCCCCGCTCTCAAGTAGCTTGTATTCTAATGAGAGAGACAATTCTCCTGAAAATAACTATATATATACAAGATATAGACAGTGTAAATGGAAGGTAGTCTCAGAAGGAACTAGAAGCTGGGGGGGCCTAAAAACACTACCTCACTCACGATTTTAAAATCTCTCAGATCTCTGCATCTGCAAGCACATATTTAAATGGAACATAAAAAGCAAAGAGTACTAGAAAAATATAGATTCTATACCTTGTATTATCTAATGTTAGCATTATGTGGTTTATGTTTGTATATGTCTATTGAGTTAGAAGACTTCTGAGGATATCCATTTTGTGACCTATTCTTTAATATATGCATATATACACATCTAAACTTTTTGTTTTTAATCTAATCTTTTGTTTTTAAATCATCTTCATTTCCAAAGCCCACTAATAGTTAAAAACCACTTCAAAGGCACCTTAGCATAGGTGTACCTTAATGCACAGGTGTGTATATGCTGATGTATGTATGAATCTATTGTAATAATTAAACAGGACATTTAAGTAAAAAAAAAAATAAAAATACAGAGAAAGTCTCCTCTTTCCCAGGTCATAAAAGATTTTATGACTATAATGGGCTTTCTAAACAACAGCCTTCAGATTATTCAAACTATGTAAATGTATTACAAAATTAAAAGCTTGGAACTTTGAATTGTTCCCATAAAGGCTCTTTGGGATCTCAGGCTCTAGAACAAGAGAGGATGTCAGGGATGAGCTAGTCCCGCCCACTTCAGCTCCCAGCAGAGGAAATTAACAATGTTAATTCTCTTACCGTAGAGAGTTCATCACATCCCAATAGCTCATAGTAATCTTCAACATCCTCCATCCTACAGTTCAGTATTGCATCCATTCTGCACGATCAAGACTGATCTCCACCAGCCAAGAAACAAGAACCACACAGCCTGGGATATACAGAAAGGTTTCCTCCGATCTCTGTTGTCCTGGCTCCAAGCAGCAGCCACCGATTTTAAGGTGCTCGAGAGTTAATGAGCACAGATGTCATAAGAGATTCTTGGCAGCTCTCCCTTTCACTGGCTGTTTGCATAAGAGAAGGAAATGGGTCCCTGATGGCTGCCAGGGATCTTTGGGATTTGTAGTTTTTGAGATTGTTTGAAGAATCTGTTTGTGTCATAGACTCCTTTGGCAGTCTGGAGAAGCTTATAGATCCTGTCTTAAAATAATGTTTTTAAATGAATAAAATAAAACAAATCAAGTTACAAATGAAACCAATTATATTGAAATATAGCTATCAAAATATTTTTTAAAGTTCATGGGCCCCAGGTTAAGAAGCCCTGAATTTTAAAGGTGAATAAGACTTAGATCAACTAGTCCAGAAGTAAAATCCAAGGACAAGAAAGTTGAAGTGCCTCACCCAATGTCACATGTGTAGTAAGTGGTAGGGACAGGATCCTTTTCATTGTGCCTGACTCTTTACAACTTTGCTTTTTGTTATTACCTTTTTTTGAATACAACCCGTGGTTTCATCAGCGTCAATAACTTCCAGTGAGATAGTTCAGATGTGCCAAGTGTGAGGTCACTCCAAACCCCAGGAACCCAATCACCAGAAGCATTACTGGCTGAGTCTTAGAACCCTAAATGATCCTAAGACTCCCTGCCACCTAAGCCTGGGTTTTCCTCAAGGCTGTATTGAGGTCTCCTTCCCCCATCCCCCCCCATTTTGACATTACACTCTATCCCTGGGTGCTCTACTGAGCTCCCATGAGCTCCAGTATCATCTCTACTCACTCTCCTCAAATCAAGTCCAGTTTTCCCAGCTGGTGATGTCTGCTGGACATTTCTACCTTAATGTTCCAGCTGCATCTAAAACACAGCGTATCCAAAAGAGAGATCATTACCTATCAGCCTCTCCTCCAAATCTACCTCCTTCTGTTAGGAATACCACCATCTCTCCAGTCAGGCAGGTTCAAAATCTCAGTCATCCTTGACTCCTCTCAACCATCAAGTTCAGTCAGTCTCACTGACTATGCTTGCAAAAAAACTCTTCTACCTCCTCTCTACTGACAGTCAGTGAGCCCTCACCCTAGTATAGATCCTTATCACCTCTCCCCTCCACCACTGAAGTAGTCCAATCAGTCTCCCTGTTTCTGGCCTTTCCCTCTTCAATCCATCATCTAATCATTCAATCCACAGCTGTCAAAACAAGCTTCCTAAAACTTAGATCTGACCATATCACTCCTCTGCTCAAGAAGCATCATTGGCTCCCTATTACCTCTAAGATAAAACGCTAAGTCCTCAGACTGGAATTTAGTGCCCACCACCATCTGACTGTGACTTTCTCTCATACTATTCTACTTCACATCCTCAATATTGTAGTTACACTGAACCAGCAACTAGTCTCTGAGCTCTGTGCTCCATTGGCCACATCTATGTATTTTCACAAACCGTCCCCTTCTCCTTTCTTTCCTCCCTAATTCTTAGAATCTGGCTCCCTCTTTAATTTAACTTCTCAAAATACTGATCTTCCTTCAAGATTCAGCTGAGTAGACTCTCCTTCTAGGAAGTCTTCCCTAATTCCACTCCCTCCCCACTCCAGTTGTAAATGTACTCTCCCTCTGCTACTTACGTATCTTGGGTTTCAAACTTGGGGTGTTTTGCATGCTGCAGTTTAGGCATGATTACAGATTGGTAGAGAAAATTATGATTTGAACTTGCAAGATCCCATGAGGCATGACTTTGGTGCTAGAGCTTTGGAGAAGAAAAACATTCTTCATTTTTTTTTTTAGGCAACTGGGATTAAGTGACTTTTGCCCAGGGTAATACAGCTAGTAAGTGCCAAGTGTTTGGTCTGAGGCTGGATTTGAACTCAGGTCCTCCTGACTTTCAGGACTGGTGCTCTCTCCACTGCACCACCTAGCTGCTCCTCTTCATTTCTTCAAGAGAGAGAGAGAGAGACTTGCATGGGTCCAGACTCTCTTCAGGGAGAGAGCCATGGAAAGAGAGAGGAAAAAAAAAACTTCTAGAAATGTCAAATAGAGAAGAGCTGGCATTTCAAGATGACCCTCATCCTGGATTGGTGGAGAGAATGCTAATGGCCTATATGATTGAGTGAGCAGAAGAGTCGGAGGGAGAGTTTTAAAGAGGAGAGATATCCTTCTTTCTTGTTTCAGGAGAGGACATATGGAATTAATAGACCTATAGAGAAGTCAGCACCTCATTATCCCTGATTTCTAGCTTGCCTACCTAGATACTTTGAGGAACTTTCTTTTAAGTGAGATTGGGGCATTTCTCTTGGTCAAACTGATAAATCATTCTGCCAGTGAGAGAGCTCACTCACTCTGTGTATTATCTGGTATGTTCTAGTCTGTAAGTTTCTCAAACTATCTACTTGGATAAATGGGTTTCCTCACTATTCATTATTTGTGATGGTATTTTGTGTAACTAGCATTTGGTGTGAGGAGTCAAGTCTGTGAATATAAGTGAAGAGTAACGTCCTCTTTTTAAGAAACAGTGTCCAGGAGTGCAGCTTAAAACTAAAAGTTGTGCCCCTAGATGGCAATCTCGAGAAGGGCTTATTGCTGTTTTAATTTCGGGGAGCAGCTAGGTGATACAGTGGATAAAGCACCAGGCCTGGAATCAGGAAGACTCATCTTTGTGAATTCAAATCTGGCCTCAGATGGTTACTGGCTGTGAGACCCTAGGCACATTATTTAACTCTACTTGCCTCAGTTTCCTCAGCTGTAAAATGAGCTGGAGAAGGAAATGGCAAGCCACTCCAGTATCTTTGCCAAAAAAATCCCAAATGGGGTCACAAAGAGTGGGACACAATGGAAAAACTGACTGGACAACAAAAACAACAAAGGGGGGGAAGATAAATATAATTTTAGTCCAATACCCCTTCTCTGAGACTAAAGCACCCGGATCTGAGGGCCCTTCTTCATGCAGGAATCAAGATCTCCCTTAGAAAAAAGATGTATGAGATTCCAGAGCTATCTGTGCAAGCCTCCATTTAGATAACCCATGTGGACATCCATATCTTACCTAGTCAGTTCATGTACCTTAGTTGTATTTGCTTACCTCTGTACATGTTGTATACCCTATATACCCTGCAAACACAACATCAGACAAGCTTCTTGAGGCAGAAACTCCTTTTTCCTTTCTTTGCATTACTGTGTAGCATAGTGCTTTGTACACTAGACGGGGATTTGGAAATAATTGTTACATTATGTTGAATTGGACTGCTACTAATTCTGCCCTCTGGAGCCAAGTAAAACAAGTGTTCGTCATTTTAAAAATCCTTCGAATAGTTAAAGAAAGCTATTGGGATCCACCCAAGTCTTCTTTCACCCAGGCTGAACATCCTAAATTGCTCAATGGGTGGCCAAATCTTGAGCCTTTCAGTTACCTTCCTCTACTCTTTAGCTTGTCAATGACTTTCCTAAAATGTGGAAATCAGAGCTGTACATAATGTTCTACATGTGCTCTGACCAGGGCAGAAGACAATAGGACTGTCACCTCCCTTTGGAAGCAAAGTTCAATAACCCTGCCTATCCCCTGCTCCAAGGATGGTGTTTTGTTTAAACAATTATTTTTTAAAGGTTGCAAATTGGCATTAAGATTTCCAAGGAAAATAAGTCCTCATCTATTTTCGGTGACTTCAAACAGAGAAGAAAATATTTACCCCCAAACAACTGCAAAACCTTTTACGTCCCCTAAATTAGTATTAAGGAATTCAATGGATAAAGTCATCACAGGATATAAACAATATATAATTCTAAATAGAATCGCAAGCTATCAACAACCATGTGAAAGATTGTTTTACTTACCAATAAGAGAAATAAACAGGTTATGGCATATGAACATAAAATATTACTGTGTTGCATGAAGTAATGAATATGAAAAATAGAGGGAAGCATAGGAAGACTTATATGAACTGATGCAAAATGAAATAAGCTGAACTAGGAAAACAATGTATAGAGGGTGTCCCAGAGTTCAAATCCAGCCTCAGACACGTGACACTTACTATCTGTGTGACCCTGAGCAAGTCATTTAACCCCATTGTCTCATCAAAAAAAAAAAAGGCAGAAGAAATTGAGCCCCTGATAAGATGGTGGCATCTTCAATAGAAATAGGGAAGTTTGGGAGAGGGGAAGATAAGGAGTGAGTTTAAGATGTCTTCAGGACATCCAGTTTGAAATATCCTATAGCCAATTAGTGACCCATGACTGAAGCTCAGGGGAGAAGCTGAGGCAGGATATATAGGTCTGAGAGTCATCCACATAGAGATGACAGTTGAATCCTTGAGAATTGATGAGGTTACTATTGCAAAGGGAAGACTCTATAGCAAAATGAATACATTGTAACATAAAGTTTAGAAACTGCTGTTTATAGAATGTAACAAATGGATAAGATAGTGTCTACTCTCAAAGAGCTTATACTCTATTAAAAGAATACAACAAATACTATAACTGCAGCATATATGTCTTCACAATACATATATATTATATGTGGGATGGGCCTTAAAGAGAGTGGCCCTATCCCCTAGCTTTCTCTCTCTCTGTTTGCCCAGAAAGTCAGAACCCTCTAAACCTCTCCCAGGAGGGCAATCATAACAGCTGCTTGCATATAGCAGAAAAAGCACATGGCCTATCTAGGTGCATCTACGTTGATATTTTGGACTACCTCTCCTGTTCTGTTTCTTTTCCCGAGTACAGGTGACTAAGCAACAGCCCTCAGAGGCATATTTCCAACCTTGGAGGCAACCTTGTAAACTCCAGAATTCCAGAGATATTCAGGATGAGCTGACTGGCATCAGAAAAGCTATTTTTCAATAACACCTTCCTTGGAGAGGATGATGGTGGACAGGAAAAGGAATCCCAGGCCTGGCTAGGCTTTCCTGAAGACACGGACCCGGAAGGAGTTGCTTAGACAATGAAGAAAAATTCAAGGTGAAATGTACAATTCCTATTCAACAGTCCCACAAACTGCTTCATGTTCTGATGCTGAGATCTCAACCTTCTGGCAGAGTTCAACAGAAGTTATATTATTTCCACTGCTTGGGTCTTTTGTTAGTACGTGCTT